CCTGATCAAATTAAATAAAATGTTCAGTTGATAATTTCCAAGACAATCTGTATATCTGCAGCAAAATATACTGTTGAAGCAATGTTTACACATAAAATATAATTCTGCATTGTATAATTTGTATTGTATTGTATAAATTCGAACAACCGTTTTGTTTTAACCATGTTGAATGTATTCAAAAATTCCAGAAATTCTTGACGGAGAGTTCACAGCTGTATTTTTTTCACCTGAAGCAATTAATTTAGAACCATGGCGATCAATGTTCAATAACAAGGAGTACAGAAAAAGGCTATGTCTTGTGGCATTGGATGAGGTTCATTGCTTAGCAGAGTGGTAGGTCAATCATTAATAACACATATAAATAAATAAAAAACACTAAGTGATCACTGCAGACCATTATTTCATGGCATACGCCTTAGAAAACTTACCACAGAAAGGAGATAGTTATGTACCTCAGTTAGATAATATGCAGATTGTAGATGCAAATCATCCCTGAAGCTTGGATTTTTTTCTGAGAACCTTTTTACTTTTCATCTCAGTTGAAGTTTGAATATTCATTCAACATAATAAAAATTAATGACTTTAAATCCCCCATGAAACATGCATGTATATAATTAATGTATGCATATACTATAAATTACCAATTGTCTCCATAGAGGAGCTTCTCCCGATCCTTTATTAAATAGGCATAATAGATTATTAAAATATGGTGATGTCAAATAATGGTTCTTTTTAGAAAAATATTTAAAAAATTGTGTTCATACAAGTATGAAATGAATCATTTGTGTTTATATTTGCTTACAGGGGTGATAGTTTTAGACCAGCATATAAGCAAGCAGCCATTCTGAGAAGCTTGACAACTTGCCCCATGATTGTTATGACAGCAACAATTACAGAAAAAATGAAACAAACAATTTTGTCAGATTTACTATTGGTTGATGTCAAGACTATTGCTGTAATCCCAGACAGGTAAGCACCAACAGACTTTATTACATTTCTTTTATTGTATGTAAAGTACATTATGCTTGTCACATGAATAAAGAGCTGTGTTGTCAGAAAAATGCTCTATAGGCCTCACCTGTGAATATAAACTCAGATGTAAAATTGAAGAAATGAATGTTGAAATTCAGATGTACAAGATTAATACAAATTCTGCATACAATATGGATTCATCAGAATAGAAAAGGTGTTTTTTGAATTTGACCGCTAGATAGAAATCAATAGATATACTCAGGACTGAATACCACAAAAGAGGTGCTACATTTATCCAGTTCTTTGTAAACTTGGAAGCATTATACCTACTCTAATTACAGTGGTGAAAGCTATACAATCAAATGTACTTAAAACAAATAAAAAAGTGATCTAATCTAAGTGTGTTATGTTTTGAACAGACCTAACATTTATTTAAATTATAAAAGCATCCCTGGGATGAAGTACAAGAATGAGTTGAAATGATATTTTGACTATCTTGCTGAAAATAGAAAGCACTCAAAGAAAACCATTATTTACTGCAGGTGAATAATAAAACATTTCATAAAATCAGTTATCAATGTACTGTGTGGAAAACACATACACAACTTTTATTTTAGTATCTTTCATGGATTACTGCAGTGTTAATACAACACAACTTTACTATTTCTTTACTCTCTAGAACTAGCAAAGTACAATAGCTAACAAATGTGAATATGAAATATAATATTACTTCAAATTTATTATTTCAGAAGTTCCGGACGTTTATTATTGTTATGTAGGCTGATAGAATCCATTTTATTCTCATTGGAATGAGGCTTTTAACAACTTTACTCTTTCATTTCTCTACAGAACTATCAAAGCAGTAGCTG